AGTTAATGTATTTTTAACGTTATGGTATTTGATTATCAGCGAGGAAATTTATGTTTGTTATTAGAAAAAAAAAACAATAATGGACAATTAGTTTTCTGTTCCAGGAAAATAGAATTGATGGGTAAATAAAATAATTTATTCTTTCCAATGAATACGATATAATTTGGATGATTGATGTTATCCAGTAATTAGATCTTTTATGATCACAACGAATTTCGATTAGTACTTTCACTGTCGCTTCTACTTGGTATCCTAAAGAAAATTCATACGTAACAACATCTCGAAAATGTATTGGTAAAAGGACATTTGCTGAATTTCAGTATAATTAATGAATTTCTCTGAGCTTGACAGTAAAATTCACATATATTCTGTTTGATTTAAATTCTTTTTGATTTTCCAAACGCGACGGTACAGTAATCTGGAAGTATCCAATGTTCATACGTGTTTTTCGTAAACTGGACAAAATTTTCTTTGGAATGACTTGGTTACCCCAGTTATTTAAACGTTATAAAAAATAATATGCAGTATCATCACTCAACAGGTCATTCTACAACTCATTTCCCGCGTTAAGAAGTGTTAGGAGTTAGTTAATGCCAATAATTCAGATGATGTGAAATTTTTGTCAGAAATTTAAAAAAAGGTTTTAGTTTCCTTCATTATTTGGACGACATTAGAGTAATCTCAGTAACAACTACGACGTTGACTAGCCGTTTATCCTGCCCCCTAAAACAAGCTCGCAACCTCAAAGCATTACAGTCGAACAGGTTCATCTCAAAATCCGCGATGAACTCAATTGGCTCCGTGAAACCTGTGACAGCGTAAAGCTCTACGCGACCATCACTTGCACTGTGCTAGAGGAACCCACCAGCATCGTCAACTAGCAATGGCCTGACATCATCGGACCGAGGATGGCTGAAACGTGAAAATTATTTTCACGTTTAAAAATTTTCTTGTATCATATTTACGGAAATCATATACTTATCCCACCAAAATTTCTGTAATCAATACTTTCTATTACTTTAAAATTAATGTTGTTACATTCGAAACGTCGTTAATAAATTAAAATTACGTCATTAAAAAATATTTCACGATATCTTTGTTCTCCTCTTCATGCCTCATATATAGCCCGTTGTTTTTCGGCGGCAAAGTATGTATTCGAGATGGCATGTGCTAGTGTAGTTTTTGTCTAGGACAGCAGTAATTGTGCACAACAGAGCTCCTGAAGCTCATTTTGAATTGTAGCTCCTTCCCTTTAAGTCACTCTGACTTGACTGATGCACTTTTCGTTGTGAAGTCTCCATGCATGAAGGTTAAGCTGTGATTTGCCATCTCATTTTTCATTTCTCTCAGCGCCTTCACTTTCGATTCCTAATTTTTCATCACAATTTGTACACGATATTCGCAGATTCTCGTCATTTCTTCGCTTTTAGGGGCTTGATGGATGACTGCTTTGGAGACCATATTTGTGAGCAACATTGTTTTCCTCGCCACTTTCACCAACTGACGTTAGCGTCTCACGTCTGCTAGTTGTTACTCGGTGCCATCCATTTTTTAGGCCATATATGTGACATTTTTTGCTTAGTTTAGTTGAATCTTAAGGTTCTTCTTAATCTTAAGAAGTGAACGTTAATACGTTTACTTCTTCGCTAGATGATCTTCTGGTTAGCCAGTTCAATGCTCACTTGTTCCAGCCTTTCTACAGCAAAGCTTATATTGGCTTCATTGAGGAGAACCCTCAATTCAACATTCTCCATTTTAAAGTAAGAAAGTTATATCAAATCCTGGAAGTCGGGAAGCTTATTCTCGGATTCACGGCGAATTTCTGCAGCTAACGATGGAAGATGCAGTCGACGACGGAATTTTTGAACTCGGCGAAATCTTTTGACAACAAGAAAATTCTGCCATCTAATACTAATTTCTGCGCTCATGACCCGCAAAATATGTGGGGGTTATCTTTTACCACTCCACAAAATGATAACTGTGCGACACAGAAATAAACTAATTCCAAGATAAGTTAAGAGTAAACTCAAAAATATGAAATTTGAAAAATAAGAAAAATATCTCACACTGCCTCAAAGCTGCAGTAACATCGAGCAACTCCATCTCAAGATTATGGATGAATTGAACAGGCTCTGTGAAACCTATGAACCAACACCAGGGGCCACGGCTATAAGCTAAAAAAAATTGCGCTGCAACTTCTCCACGCGACAAAATTTCTTCTCGCCTCGAATCACCGACATGTGGAACAGCCTCCCCAATGACATCGTTGGCGCTCTAAGTATGAACGCGTTCAAGAACAGACTAGATAAAGCTATGGAAAAATATATGTTCATATTTGAAATGCCTAGCACCATATCGAACCCGGTGAAAGTCCATTAGCTACTTGAAACTATTGTCAGTCATGAAAATATCCGGTCAAATTAAACGATATTAGATCTTCTGTGAACAAGGCACGAAAAGGAAAAGCATCGGCGACAGGCGCCTACACTTCAGCGCCGAGATCAATATGTTATGTTATGTTATATTTGATGACGATAAATAAATCTCATCGTGGAAATCCCCTAGACATATAAATTCGTATGTAAAGTGAACTTAATTTCATAAAAATGTGGATTTTTCATAAAACACACACACGCACCTGATACGTACCCTCTCGAGACGAGTGTAGTGCCTAACATATTGTGAAACATTTCTTAATTTCATATATCACTAGTGGTAAATACATAGCTCGGATGAGTGCCTCAAGTGCACGATTTTTCGAACTGATATTAACTCGTCGCAATTAAGATATCAATAATACTCAAATAACTATGTCTCATATAATTTAGCAATAGCAACACAAATAATACGCAAAATCGGAGCAATTTTCCCACAGATGACAGCAGGCCCACTACAGCGCCTCATAACTACATATGTGAGGTGGCGGCAGCCTCAGAGGCCGAGCGCCATCATCCCCTAACGTCGCGAACTGACGGCCATCTATGTATGTATATACTGCGGATTAATTTTTTCAAGTTACTGTACACAGAAAAATAAATGCTTCACCTTTTGTGAGTTGATGGCACACCCGCAACTGGATAGGGGGAACTTTGAATGTTTTTATGGATCTAGTAAGTCAATTTATGGGACTGATTTACATGATGTCTCAAAGCATAGGTCAGAAGAAGGGGCCTATCTCATTGTCTTACGAAAGCCAGGCTTAGACAAGCCCAATTAAATAGATACAAAATTTGTGGTCTTTCATTATTATCGAGATATAGTCTTTGTATCACTTCATAATGAATTTGCCTTGACATGTGCGGATGGAGGCTCTATTTCTTCAGTCCACTGCAATCGTACAAAACTCAGCGCGGCTCATACCTTTTAATTAAAACCAATTAATTATTAAACCTTCAAACCTATTAATTTCAATACTGATATTGATAATAAATATGGGAAAAGAGTATATACCAATCTGCACATCAAACCACTTTCTTTACTTGGTATATAATTTTGATGAACCTTCTTGACGAAGAATAAGTGGCAACCATATATATTTCCTTGAGTTACCCCCGCGAATAATTTACTGCTAACATTAGTCAATTTCAATCCCAATAAATTTAGTTTAGCTACCCATCAAATTTAATTTTTTACCGTTGTACATTCCATTCATTTATCGCCATTAATAATTACCGAATTCGATTCAAATAGTATAAAATATATATTTATAACATATTTTTGAAGTTTATTTTGAGTTATTTTCACATTAAATTGAGTAATTGAGGTTTTTTAAGTTTATTTACATAATTCTAATAAAGTATAAAAATCGGTGTCTCTGGCTTGTTCATGGGCGTATATTAATTTTGTAAGATGTTAATACGTTGGTGATAAAGGTTCGCGTTGTAGTAGAAAACTCTGTCGCAGAAGAAAAAAAAATTAAATATTGTAGTAAGTAGCCGTGAGATTGATGCTGAATAATATGAAATTATGTGAACACTGCAAATGAGAACGAATGAAATAGAAAATGTTTATTAATAAATAATCAGAATGCGCGTAAGTTTCTTTGAGTTCTCAACCAACATGAGTTTTCGTCTCTCCTCGTGTTATGGCATGTGATGACATGTCAGCCTAAGTACTGTACTTCCGGCCGAACTTCCGCTGCTGATAATATAATAAATTTAATAATGTATTCGTTAATTGTCTATTTTTAGGTTATTTAAAAGAATGTGCAGATAAATTACAACTGTAACAACAATAATTGCTTTTTCGAATCTACAAAAATTTGCCTTTCAGTAATCGCCACCTCTGTTGCCTGCGCATCTGTTCAGTGGTCTCTAACTGTTCACTTGTCCGGCCGGTTTGGCGGACGTTCCCACTAATACCTAGAATTAAAATGATGAGGTATGCATTTTTTCAGAATCTGGTGGAATACGACGTGTGACAATTTTATGGCCGGACTCGCGGCCCGGCGCCACACACGTTTGAATGCGAGTCACCGGCACGTGGAATTGACTTCCTGCCAACATCGTTCACGCTCCGAGAATTAAAGCATTCTACATGTATAACAGACTAGATAAATCCATACCGAGGCATACGAGTATGATTCTATTAGAAGAGCCTTCAACCTCGCAAACTAGTTAATTCATAACAGTTATTTGGCGTCAACGTCAGTTTCATAGGATATAGTCAAAATGGCAGTTCTCAGATTTCCAAGTGACATGACAAGAATATTATAGGAATCGGCGACAGGTCAAACTTGACCTATTCTCCCACGCCGAATTATTACTATACTTTACTAATAGGTAAACTATTTGTGTGTGCACATGCATATACATATATTCGAATATAAGCTATGTATGCGATCGCATTAATTTTGACGGTATTCTGTTATTAAAATATTGTTGACTGAATCTTTCAGGTTACTACTGTCTAAAAGCTCATATCTTTTTCATCTCAAATCTAGAAAACTAATGTAAATCAATTCGTTTTATCCTCGTTCCCTGAGACGCGTTCGTCGCGACCTTTAGTATGCTTCAAGCGGTGGGCGGGGACGCTTCTCGTTAAATTTGTTTTGAATTTTAACTAATTATTTTTATGGTACCTAAATATTGTTTTCCGAAATGGATCGTAGGCTTTTGATAATTTGTTTCTTAGGTGTAGTATATTTTGCCGCGTTCAGAGGAGGTGAGTGTTAGTTACGTATTTGTTTTGCTCCTCGACCTCAGTCATCGGTTTCTGTTCATGTCAACAGTCTTGGGTGTGGCCGTTCATCTCACGGCAAAGAATAAATATCCTAAGCTGTCTTCGGCGAATTCGTGGAAATTCCTGCTCGGCTATGTTTTTTATTCTCTTCAGTATAAACAGATCTTTGATGTGAATACTGACTCGTTTTTCAATTATTGGTTTTGACTTTGCTAGGACCAACTTAGCTACCAAGCAATCATATAGGTAGGCCTACTAAGGCTAGCCTACTAGTCTACTACCTTACCTACCTACCTGGAAGGCTGGAAATGGTTTCTTAAATGATCATAATACAAGAATTTTTTGTGTTGTAGGTAAATCATTCAATGAATCCTAATTTACAGCATTTGAAAATTATTTTTCTTTGTTCTATAATCATAATAATGTAACATTGAAAGGTCATTTAGCCTACTTGTTAGAAATTTTCAATATTTTAATCAGTCTAATGTTTAATGGCGTGTTTTTTTTTAATCTGAAATCTTGCTGCAAGTTGCTGGTTGCTCTTTACAACACTTTACTTTAACTTCACTTCTTGTTTGTCTGTCTGCATAGTGGCAGCGCAGAGGGGTTTTTTTTAGACTCTTCCTCAAGTTCATTTTTGAGTCCTATAAGTAGACCAGTAAAGTACCGTAAAATGGGGTACCAGTAACTTAGACCGGCGGGGTAACTTAGACCACTTTTCGTTTTTTTTAACAAAAACCCCCACAACTCAAAAACTATTTGACATAGAAAAATTTTGTCAATGGGCATTAAAGGCCTAATACTGAGGCTACATAACACAATAGAAAGATTTGAAAAGTTTGCATATCTAATAGGTTAAAAAATTAAAAATGTGACCCACAAAAAAAAAAAACTATTATATAAAGCATGTCAGAGTACCCCCTCCAATTTTTTTATTTTTTGGTTAAATAGCTCCAGGTTTTGATGCATTGTAGTAGAACTCTTCTAGTTACATATGCAAATGACAAATTTTAGGAAAGTGTCATAGTTTGCAAATGGGGGGCGCCGCCCCCAAATGGGGTAACTTAGACCACCTAATGTCAGCCTGACGGGGTAACATAGACCGGCTTGGAAGTTAATATAAAATTACCATATATAACGTATTTTATGTTTGACAGCCTATTTATGTTTTTTCTTTATGTTTCAGACTCTACAGTCTTATATATGGTAATTTTAACTTATTTCCAAGCCAGTCAATATTACCCCATCAGGGCTGCCATTAGGTAGTCACATTTCCCTCATTATGGGGCGATGCCCCCCATTTGCAAACTATGACACTTTTCTCAAGTTTGTCATTTGCATATGTAACAAGAAGAGTTCTACTACAATGCACCAAAACCTGGAGTTATTTTACCAAAAAATATAATTGATTTTACCACCCGGTCTAAGTTACCCCAAGAGCTGGGGTAACAAAGACCATCACTTTTTTTTAAATTACATAAAGACTATGAGAGGCAGGAGCCAGTAATTTATGATGAGTGAAGCTAGAGTATAGACCTGTATTTTGCATGTTTCAATTCAAGTTTAATTTAGCTAGTAAAAATATGGCATCATTTATAAAAAAAAAAGTGGTCTAAGTTACCCCATTTTACGGTATCTTGGATACCAGCATTATCATGCATAAGAAATCTGTTGAAATCTTGACTAAATGAGGAAATTAAAAATGAACTAATTCTAAAAAAATCACTGGTTTGCCACTATGTCTGTCTGTCTGTCTGGAGTGTCTGCTACAAATCTTATAGGCTACTGTCAATGCCACTAAAGTCGCCACCTCACTAAAGTCACCACGCTACAGGGAAAAGGAAATATTTATTAAAATCGACCCAATACGAACATTTCGTTATCATAGGAAAATACTAGAACATTTATTAATATTGCCTAAAGATAGTAGAATGCATTTTTGACAATTGATTTGTTATTAGTTTTGAGATTTCAAATCAACATGACGAAAATTCGTTGAGCGAAACGAATTTTTTCATTCTGCTTGATGAACTGCGTTTGGGCGATACTTTATTTCCGCGAAAATGTTTTCCCTTCGAAGTTTGGGTCATACCGAGGTGAAACGCAGTAATGACGAATGAAGAATTCTCATTCTCGACAAGTGGCATCAAGTGAACACATAAGCATTCACTGCTGCGTTTCAGCATCCGGCGTAGCAATGCCTCCAATGATCATTTTTAAAGCAGCGTTTCCAGGAGGCAACTATGCTGCTGGTGGCCCCGACGGAGCTTTGTACGGCAAACAAGCCACTGGCTTCATGGATTCCGAACTTTTCCTCTGGTGGTTCACCCAGATATTCTTGTTATTCGCTAAGCCATCAGCAGATAAACCAGTTCTCTTGCTGCTCGATAGCCACACCTCCCACTGCTCTCCAACAGTTATTGACTGTGCCAGGCAAAACAATGTGATATTGTTAGCGTTAATGCCTCACACCACCCATCTCTGTCAGCCATTAGACGTTGCCGTCTATAAGTCATTCAAAGTTGCTCTCTCAAAGCTCGTAAAACTTGGGCAAGCCGTGCAAGGGAACTTGTGGATTGCAAAGAAGAATGTTCCGTGTATTATAAAGAGTGCTTTGGAAAATTCAATGACGGCTTCAAATATCAAATCTGGATTCAGAAAGTGCGGAACTCATCCCTTCAACCCGAACGCAATGGACAAGTCCCAACTTTGCAGAAACCAATTGATCCCCAGAACAGACATTGACTTATCAATCATGCCAGAGAACTCTCCAAGTCAGTGTCAGCTTATGGATGAACCAACTCAACCAAGCGCTTCAAATTTTGCTCTCAACTTGGAAGACGCTGCTTTGATTTCCAGCAATAGGACGTCTGTGAACACCAGAGCTTTGAAGCCAACTGAGAGACTGGATTGCAACATGAACCGAGTAGTGGTCATTACTATTTCAGACAAATATGGGTCGGTTGGGGAATCTGAAATTGAAATCATTGCACCGGAGTCTCCTGCAGCAGAGCTTCAATCGCCAAACAAAAATCCTCTTGTGGCGAGCGGTATAATTTCTTCAGATTTAGCAAGTATCTTCTATCCTGTTGAAGATGAAATTCTCTCTAGACGTCGCCGCCAGTTGCGAATTTCTTCTAAAGCGCGAGTCATGACTTCAGATGAAGTGCGTGCAGACCTTGAGTCACAAACAAAAGCAATAAAAAATAAAGGACAAAAGACAGCTCCTCGCAAGACCATCAGGCAAGAAAAGAAAGACGATGCCATCCCCTCAATGTCTCGAAACAAGCGTCCCAGACAATCCAGTGAGGACGATTTTGCTCTGGAAGACAGCATCTGCTTGATTTGTGGACGCGATTGGGCTGCTGATTGGGTGCCCATCCAGGCAATGTGGGTTGGCTGCGAAACGCAAGGTTGTCCTCATTGGACTTGTCCGCGATGTCTTCATAATAACTTTGATTACACAGCCGATTTTTATTGCCGAAACTGCGAACAAATTTAATTTTTTAGTTTACTAAATCGGCATTCGTACGATATTACGTAGTTTTTGTGCGATATTTTAGTAACGATCTTTTCTATTTAGTGTAAAAAATGACTATATATTTCCGAATTTTATTTGTTTCCAATTGCACTTCATGCTCAAAGAAAACGTCTGAGAGTGTAACAGTTTCGTAAACATGTAAAATCCAAGTGTTAGTATCTAAAGACTTTGTTTTAGTTTATTTCTATATCTTTATCTAAATTTTGTTTGTTGGTTTTACATTGACCAATTGTTTTCTTGTTACGCATAGTCCTATTCTTACTTTGATATTTCTTCTTCTTTTTTCATGCCCATAGTAAAATCAAATATGTATAAATATATGGAAATAAATATTACGATGCTTTCACCTCGACATATTTCAGTATCAATGGCGGGGGCTATATCGGTATTTGTGACGGTCGATATAGTAATAGGTATATAGCGGTTTCAGCGTTCACTGCATGGACTATTAGACCTGTCACAGATTCGTAACATCACAGAATTTTCACAGCATTTTAATGTCTCGAACACGCAACTCACTGCCCTAATTTTGATATACGCTTAACCGCCCTGCTCATCTGCCGCTCGTCGCCGATTTGACCAGAACTGTAGCAGGTAGCCAAGATCGAACCCTCATCTTACTGCTCCTATAACTACTACGGTAGGTCACCTTGCCCTTGGATTTTGAAGAATTTGCATTGAGAAGGGGAAACAATGGTGAATATAAATAAAACCGATCTGAAAGTAAATCATTCATATTACTATATCATCAATTTGTGCAATCTATATTCACACTAATATTGATCCTCTATGAACCCCTTTTGAGAGGCCATTTGTTCGAGACCCATTACCCACTCTTACACGAAGCCGTTTACGCCAGTCCTATTGACCCATTAATGCTGAGCGGTTCCATTTGGAACCAGCAGGAAAAAATGGCTTCATAATAATATTGTATGGTCAAATCAATATACTAGTGGATGCGTAGGTTTGATACACATCTTGTACATGTTCTGGCAACGTTTGGTTCTGCTGCGCCGACTACTCCCTGCTCAGGTAACATTAAAAGATTGTAAGTACCGGGTGTCAGACAGAAGGGCTTGACATCATTGCAGAGAAAGGTAAGTAGTTTGTTCTAAGAATATATTATTTATAAGTTAGATGCAGAATTTTATTGATAATGAGAGTACTTTTAATTCTGTATATGGTATTACGTGATATAATGTTTTTAAAGTGTTTTAGATCATGAAATATTTTGTCTGGTTCCAAATGGAACCGCTCAGCAGTAGTGTAAGCATTCCAGTCATCTCACTTCCCCAGTAGATTTTTTTGTGACATAGTTACGCATTGTATTTCAAAAACTTGTTTGAACTTAGAAATTATTTATTTAGATCTTAGATCAACAGTTATTCTATTATTTGTTAGTGAACTATTATCTTAAGAGCTGTTAGGAATATATATTCTG